TCGCGGCCTCCCGCCGCCTCTTCGGGGCGCTGCTGGAGCGCGGGGAGCTCTTCGTGGGCCGCCTGCCCGCCGAGGAGGCCGTCCTGGACGGTGAGTCCCGCCGAGACCCCCGTGGTTCGGTTCGGCCTGGCACGGTTCGGCCCCATGGCGCTGAGCGCGCTGCCTCCCGCAGGGCCCTGCAGTGCCGAGGACAAGTACAGGATGTGGATGCGGCACCGCTACCGCAGCTGCCTGGAGTGCCTGGCCGAGCTGCTGGCGCACGAGGCCTTCCAGGTCAAGGTGGGTCCGCGGGGCAGGAGCCCCCGTGTCAGCCCTGGGTGCTGCGGCGCTCCTCGTGCTTGGACTCCTCGGAATAGCGGCTGCCTCCCGCAGGGCCCTGCAGTGCCGAGGACAAGTACAGGATGTGGATGCGGCACCGCTACCGCAGCTGCCTGGAGTGCCTGGCCGAGCTGCTGGCGCACGAGGCCTTCCAGGTCAAGGTGGGTCCGCGGGGCAGGAGCCCCCGTGTCAGCCCTGGGTGCTGCGGCGCTCCTCGTGCTTGGACTCCTCGGAATAGCGGCCTCCCAGGAAAGGGCATGGGCTCCCTGTGGGAAGAATCCCCTAATCTTTTCTCCCAGTTTTTAAACACTCTCTTTTGGGTCCAGCCGGCAGCTCCTGTTATTGATGTGTGTTTTCCTCCTTAAGGAACTAGCGCTCTGCACCCTCATGAGGTTTGTCGAGTTGGAGATAGGACACCCATTGGTCGAGCCAGAGTGGAAGGGGGGGTTCACTTTTCCCCGTGAGCTTCTGAAGGTAAGTTGCAGAACTTGGAAAATCTCTGCTGTGATTTGCTCCTTGACACAAACCTGTAGTGCTCACGTGCTCCCAGGCTAAAACTTTCAAGGAGGAGGTTTTCACAGGGAGGAGAAACGTGCTGTTATAGAGCGAGCTGTGAAACCTAGGGTTTCCAGGGAGGGTCTTGCCCAGGTGCTATCCTGCAAATTTGGGAGCAGCTGCCTTGCATGGGGACTGGCTGGACTCGTGTGACTGGAGGTCACAGCTTTGGGCTTTCTGAGGCTTCCTGGCCTTATTTGATATTGGGACGTGAAAAGTAAACAACTGCCCCTGCTTCACCCACTGTGTTATTTCAAAATAACGTTGTCAGATAGGAGAAACTCATCTGAGAGGTGAGGGGGGCCTCCTAAACTGGCCTGTGAACGTGTACACACACGTGGAGCAAGCAGGACGCAGCACTTCTGGCTGCATTTCAGAGGGACCTTCACAGCTTGTTGCCTGCTCACATACTGCTGAGACTGACACTGCTTTCCTTCACAACCCTTTGTAGATAGTTGTTGATGGACTGATCCCCTTAAACGAGGATGCCTCGCTCCTGATCTCTCGCTTCCAAGAATACATGGAATTCGACGACATTCGGTACTTCGTGATGAAGGCCGTCACGGAGAGCATCGGACAAGTCATGCAGAGGACAAAAGAGGTAACAAATTCTTACCAGTGAGGTGGGTCTGGATAAATTTTTGCTCTGAAAGGTTTATTTTGGGGGTGGAGTACAGGAGTGGTGGTGTATGAAAAGTGTTTGGAAGCAAGAGAAATGTGTGCACTTACTTAAATGTGTTTGTTTAAATCTTCATTGTTCACAGGGTCTGTTAAGTTTGGGTAAGATTGTCCTCAGTCTGCAGTGGAGGTAGTTCAAGAAACACTTAGAGCTGTTAGTGCAAAACCTCATGATTTGGGCTGTAGGTTTTGTTTTAATCTTGGCAATTTGGATGGTACAGGCAGCTTTTAAGTATGTACTCCCACTGTTGCATAAGAAAAGCCTGTGTGTGTGTGTTGTTGTTTTTTGTTTGTTTTTCTCTAGTTGGATCCAGTGGTTTTGTTAAACCAGAGTTAGTTCAGATCTACATTTCGTGTTAGGAAAATGAGTAGTATTCTAGGATAAGAGGAGACAGCAGTATGTAGTTTGGCTATTGCTATCTTTCCTTTTCTTTCCTAATTAAATCTATTCGGTTCTTGTGAAACAGAGTAGTATTGAACTCCAGCATGTTTTGCCATCTGATGTGGAGCTTCTTGTTTGAATATATGCTTTTTTTTTCCCTAGAGGCCACTGCCAATATACCAGCAGAACATATTTTCCCTCATTTCACCCATTAACATGCCAAACAAAGAGCGTGACTTGGTCAAGTTTATGGTGAAGCAAGGTTAGTGAGCTTTGTGCTGTGAACTGTGGATGAAAGGAAAAAGCAAGCTTAAGATTTATGTTGTTAAAAGACTCTTAGCCAAGTATGTAATGGAGCCTTAGATAAAATAGTATTTTGGGGGGTTTACATGCCTCGGTTTTAGGTGTTTTATGTGTAACAACTAGCGTGAGACTTTTCCTGTTTCAAGTAAAACAAGGATCGTATGTTTTTAAACATCCATTTCAAGTTCAGGATCTGTTTTGTCTTTCTTCTTAGAAAACCGGGAGGAGTGGAAAGTGTCAAAGCTGCAGGTAACTTCATTTGGTGATTCAGAGTTGAACTTAAAACTTTATCTTCACCAATATACTCAATCCCTTGTTTGCAATTCTGTTTAAGGCACACAAGCAGGCGTTTGAAAAGATGTGGCTCAGTTTTCTGAAGCACAAGGTGAGTACTGGTTCTGCCACCAATCTGTACTGCCTTCCAGTGGCTTCTCCTTCGAGGAGAAGGTGCCTGTCCTTCCATGGAACTACTTGTAAGACCCTGTTGTGCTTTCAGCATTAGATAAGAACACATTTTTGTTTTTTCTTACAGCTGAGTCACTTTTCTGTTTGATCATTCTTCTGCCTAGAAGCATTTCCTCATATATGATTTATTTCTTCTCTTTCTCCTCTCAGCCTTTCTTTCCCCTGTGAACAAATCTGCTTCTAAGAAGTGACTTGCGGCATAAAGACCTGTTTACAAGTTAAGGGCTCCCACACCCTTTCACTGCTTTCCTCCCACTTTTGCCTCTGAGCTGTGATCGTCCTTCGAATTTTGAGTGCCTACTTCTGTAATTCTGACTTAATTATCACTCGTCACTTGTAACCTCTCTCATTTAAGATCTTTTGCTCCACTATATGCTCTTTTTCTTCTCTGTTGCCTATTTCTCCCTGCATTGATTATTTGACTTTTTTTTGTTCTTCACAGTTGCCCACTGGCCTTTACAAAAAAGTTCTTGTTATTCTGCATGACTCAATTCTGCCTTACATGAATGAACCTACTCTTATGATAGACTTCCTGACAGTGGCCTATGGCATAGGTGAGTAGAAACAACCTTTCTCTCCTTTGTGGGATTCTGCAGCATGGGAGGTACTACTGGAAGGACTGCTGGAGGCAACACCACAGCCTCTTTGGGGAATGACTCAGGACAGAAATGTCCTGGACAAAGAAATAGCTATAACTTTGACTGGAATTAAGCTAAGGAACTAAGGATATTGCTTGTCCTTGGAAGAAAGGAGTTTTTACCTGGGCTTATCAGTGTTTTTTCACATTATTTGTAAGGAAAGTCATATTTCAAGCTTTGGAAAAAGTTGGATAATTAAGTGATTTATTTCAAATGTAGAGTTCAGCCTGCAGAGCGGCTGTCTGGGCTGCATCTGAACACAGATGTGCAGTTTCCTACAGAAATGTTCTGTCTGAGGAGGACTCTTCCGCCCTGTGTGGTTTTCTTGGGCATTAAAGCAGCATTTTTGTCTCTGTCCTTCAAGTCTATTCTTATGAACTACAATTTAATCTTTGTAAGTAACCTCTGAGCCTCTGGAAGCTTTCATATGATTTTGTCCCTTGACAACCATCACGTTGTCACTAATTTCAGGTACTCTGATATTATGTCTGCTGTGCGAAAGTTTTATAATAAAAGAAAGTTGCAGTTGGTGGTTCTCTTTTGTGTTATTATCGGCTCTCTTTCTTACAGGTGGAGCAATCAGACTCCTAGCCTTAAATGGATTATTTATTCTGATTCATCAGCATAATCTGTAAGTAAACAAAGCATCATATTTCAAGGAATATGGGGTTTTGCTTTTACATCTGCATACTTTGGAATTCCCCCCCTGAGAAAACCAAACTCTTCACAAGAGGCTTGGCTGTTCAAATGCTGAACAATTTTGATAATATGACTATTTTTTCAGCTGAGCCTAAATGCCCTCTGATCCAGAGTGTTACTGTTTGGCACTTGAAAATCTGTTTTGTTGACCTGATCCCACAGTAAAGCTGTAGTCTTTGGCGTGCCTTTCCCTGGATCCTGTACTGCTGCAGTCAGTGGATATAGCATCACACCCCCAAAACAGCTTAGCAGCACTGCAAGAACAGGAAATTTGCCTTACAGCCTGTTTTTGAGTGCTGACTGTGGAGAGGAACAAAAGAAAGCTAAACAGCACAGCAGCGGTCTGGGGTCACGTATAATGAATGCATAGAGACATTTAGACACAACGCAGTCCCACTGTACATCACTTATAAGTAACAAATACTGTCTTTTTTTTTTAATAGGGAATATCCAGACTTTTACAAGAAGCTGTACAGTCTTTTAGACCCTTCTATATATCATGTGAAGTATCGAGCCCGGTTTTTCCATTTGGCTGACCTGTTTTTGTCTTCATCGTAAGTAGCAGGTTGTTTATGTATGTTCATGTATTTTTCTCCAGCTTTTCTGTTGACCTGAGACTGTTCTTACACAGTCCCTGCTGTCCTCCTGCGAGAGGGACTGTTTGGATGTGGCTGCTGGACTGGATTTTTGTTTACTGAGAAAATTGAATCCAAGACTATGCTTGTAATGCTGTGTAATTTTGCAAGTGCTATTTTTGAAGATTTGCCACATGCCCATCTAGTTTCAGAAGATAAAAATGCAGTACGTAATCTGATTTGCAAAATTATGAATGTATTCTGGTGTATATTCCATTTGGCTGAAAGTGATGCTTTTTTTCTTTGGCTTTATGAATATGGAAAAAATAACATTTGCATTTTTTAAATAGACATGGGATCATAAAGCTGTTGATATTTTTGGTCTTTGTGGAGATAAAACATTGGAATATAAAGTGTCTGACAGCCTGCCTTGATGCTGTCATTTTTTTTGTACACCAGGGAAGAAACCTGGTCATTCAGGGTAACTATCATTTCATCTGCTGTAAAACAAACCAAGAGTAACACTTTAAATTTCAGCATTGACACTTAATAACAAACCTGCTTGTACTCATAGTGTTCTTCGGGATGAGAAATAAGATAACACTACTGTGCACAACAACTGTGCACAACAACTGGGTGCTGTTGTTGAGCCTTGCAGGTGTAGTGAAGTGCAGGGCTGAAGCCTGAGTCGCTGAAACTCATCATTTTTCATCCCAGCTTCTCAGACATGAAGGAGGTGCCTATATCAGCTGATTATTGTTATAAGTTTGCATTTTTACTTTGCAAATAAGAACTACCCTGCACATACGCATTATACACCTTTATGTCCCTGCTAACAGCTGCACTGCTTGCTTCAGTCCTGGAGGTACTACATAAATTTAACACCATGGTCCATGTGTTAATTAAACCCACAAAATGCATTAGAAGGATATAATTAAAGTTGTCTGTCCAAGTGCTCAGAAGTTTGTAAAATGACTGAATAAAGACTGCAGTGTGAGTGACCATTACAAGAGCTGTGCTTAGCTACAGCATCTGCTTGGAGTGGTGCCACACATCTGGTTTGAATCACAGGGTGATTTACATTATTCATACACTGTGTAGAAATTGCTGCAAATTATGTTGCAGGCAGCACATAAGGCCATGTGTTACTGCCTGGAACCAGATACTTTTGCTTACAATTTCTTCGTTCCACAGTCCAGAAATATAGAGAGCCCCACTGATCCTTAATGTGATGCACTGTCAGGGTTGACAGTGTTGCCACCTCTCTTGCTTGGGCTTTTACACGCTGATGTCTTCTCTTCTCTTTCCAAAAGTCACTTGCCAGCGTACCTGGTGGCAGCGTTTATAAAGCGCCTCTCCCGGCTGGCCCTCACTGCTCCTCCCGAGGCTCTGCTCATGGTCATTCCCTTCATCTGCAATCTCTTCCGGAGGCACCCAGCTTGCAAAGTGTTGGTACACAGGCCTAACGGGCCAGAAGGTAAGAGCAAGGGTGGGCTGGGGGCTTTAGTGTCCTGCTTTAGTGTCCAGCATAAAGAGCAGGATTGATTTCCCTGGGGGAAGAGGAGAGATCCTAGCCCCAGTTCTAAGGTTTAGAAGGATCTCTGTGTCCCTTGGCTTTGCAGAAAGCCTGCAGGCTGCTCCTTCAAATTCTCCATTCAGTTGTGAAGATCTGTCTGTTGTTTTTGACTGCGGGCCTCACTGTTGGCTACGTGGCCTCCAAGTAGGATGCCCTCTGTGTGGCTCTCCAGGCTAAGGGTGCTTGGAGCCAGGCTGAGACAGCTGGACCATACACTGCGCTCGTCTTGTTCACCTCAACACACTGTTAAGCAAAGAAATGAGAAAATAAGCCAAATGCAGAAACCTGAGACCTTCTCATTTTCCATCTACAATGTTTAAGCCCATTGGTTTAGCAGTTTCCTGAGTTGTTATTCATCTGTCCATGGTTTAATCAATTTAGTGTTGAACATCAGTAATGCTTGCTCAAAGTTGTCTGAATTGCCTTTTGCATCACACCATTCCAGTTCTTTGTGTCTTACTTCTGTGCTCTTTAAAAATAATGTGATTCTGTAATGCTTCAGTGACTTAGCCATGCTGAGGTGTGTAGCTTGTTGTTGGATCATAAATGTCAGGGGCACTGTCTCACACAGCTCTTGCTGCAGTGCTGCTCCATGTCTCTGTTTGTTCCCTTTCGAATTGTGCACATCATGCAGGAGATGTTACCTCTGCATCTTCCTCTCCTTAGATTTGTCAGAAGATCCATATATTATGGAGGAGAAGGAGCCATCTGAAAGCAGGGCTTTGGAAAGCTCCCTCTGGGAGCTGCAGGTATGTGGAAGAGCCTGTCTGAATTGACTTGAATGTGGAAAGGGATTGTTTATATGTTTGAAGGATGGCTGGAATCTGGATTTATTGGAGCTTTGCAGAACAGTAAACTTGTCTCCTGTGCCAGGTGAATATCTGACTAGCAAGGAAGGGGATAGCTGTGGGGATAGTTGAGTGGATATATGTCACTCCTTTACTCACTAAAACATCTTGTATTTGTTTTATTTTTTTGCAGTCTCTACAAAACCACTATCACCCAGATGTGGCCCAAGCAGCTGCTGTCCTGAACCAGTCTCTGTCAGAAATAGAGGACAACATATCAGGGCTCTTGGAGCTCTCTGCTTGTGAGGTAGCATTGCTGTGCTTGTGTTAGAGTGGGACAAGAGGAAAAGAGACTGGCTCCTGGGATCCGTAATCGCCTCCAGCAGCTGCTGGGGAGGGAGCTCAGCTGATTTTTTGGTTACCCAGAGCCGGTGAAATGTCTGTTAAATGCAGGAGCACAAGGCAGCAGTGGTGACTGGGATGGCTTATACAAAAAAAGCCTGGAAGGGCTTATTTATTGGTGGATCTTTTTAAAGATCAAAGTGAGAACTGGTATCAGTCAGGATGAAAAGCTTCTCCTGAATTTTGCTAATATCTTCTCTTTTTTTTCTTTGTAGCTTTTTGATAGAGAAATAAAGAAAAAAAATGCTGATGTGCCCCTAGAGTTTGAGCCAGTGAGAGGTTTGTTTGGGAAGAAGAACGATATCTTTGCAGAGCACTTCACATTAGATTGATATGACCTGTAATAAACACATCTGCACAACTGACTGACCTTGGGGACATTCACAAAACACACGTTTTACTGGATATTTCTGTCTTCTGAAATACCTCTAAGTTGTGAGAGCTGGACTGCTTGAGACAGATGGTGCCTTCTTTAGTGACCGTAGCCAGCATCAGCAGGTGGACTTCTCCTCTTGGCTGCTTGTTTCTGACTCGTGTGTATTGCTGCCTGATGCTTGGAATGGACTTTTCCACTGAGCAAAGTTTTTTGGAGGTGCTTGTGGGCTTCCATTTTTTTTTTCCAAAGCAACTAGAGCTGGCTGTGATCACTGATTGCATGGACAGACCATCCTGCTGCCCTCATGTGGGACTGAGGGAAGATGTGGCCTCTGAGAGCTGTTCTTGTTCCCCAGCTGTGTTAGCTCTACGCTAGCCCTGGCAGCCTGCTTGCCACAAGTGACCTCAATGTATAGCTGTAAACACCCGTGGATATTTTATATATGCTTTTAAACTATCCTCTGATGTTTAACTTCCATGTATTGGTCTTAACTTTCCCATGTTCCAGATGCTGGAAGCTCATGTTTGTCAGAGATAGCTCACAGATTATGCTCAATAATTCCATCTGTGACATGTGCCATGTGTTCCTTCATGTACATCTATCTCATGCTGTAAAGTTGCCCAATCTAAAATTGAGGTTTAGAAATGAGCATAATCTAGGTGATGTAGGGATCTACCTGCTTAGCTGCAGTGCAGTGGGAGCTAGATCTAATCCTTGATTTTTTTTTGCTGCAGTGGTAAGCAGCTTAATGTAGTTTTGCTTGCAGCTTGCAAGCCTCATAAGAACTCCAGCAGGTGTATACCCAAGTGCCAAGCAAGTTTTAAGTAGTGTCAACTGATGCCAGGTGGATTTAACTCAGACTTCTATATTTTGAAAGGTGATGCAGAAGTTTCTTCTGATAGTGTTTCCCAAAATATTAAATGTTTCTATGTTGATTCTTGTTGCAGTGCTTGTTAAGAATGCAGATAGATTAACTGAACACTTGTTTCCTTGTACCATTTTTAATAATTTATTCTTGTCTCTCCAGACTTTTTACTCTGCTTACAGCATTTTGAAATCATAATCTGTAAAGGAGAAAAATGTAGTCAAGAAAATGAAGCCAAAGGAAGCTATTTTTTTGCAAACAAGGCTGCTTAAAGTCAAGGAAAACTGCAGCTGTCATAAAGACACTAGGTGCTAGGTTTTCCTTGTCCAGTTTTCTTCATGCTATCCAGACAATGAATAGATAATGGATCATATATTTACAATGAAATCATTTTCTCATTTCTTAAACATGTACTCTGTCTTTTCTGTGATACTTTTGAATTCAAGTGAGGGGATTCCAGGGTCCTCTAGGTGCTTTTTTAAAAATCCCATTCTGTTCTGTTTTGTGAAAAAGCAGGTCTGTCTCCTCCCTGGCCAGCCACGTTTCTTTATCCTTTGACTTCTGGTATCTGGTAAGAAGGTGCAATGGTTGAGATGATAGTTTCCAACTTGAGACACTTCAGTTCAAGTTCCCCCAAAGCCTTGTGTTTCAGCTCTAAAATGCATTTCCCAATATCATATGTCTGTTGTGTGTATGTGTTTACTAAACATTTTGAAGTCCTCTGATAATACTGAGGTCCACCTAAGTACCTTAGAAAGATGTAAATCAGAGTGTATTCTTTGAGATAAGATGATGTACCTTGGATATATATATATATATATATATGTATATATATGAATACATTTCTCTGTGTCTTTTTATTGTACTCAGATTGGCTCAGTTTCCTCAGTGAAGTTCCTGAGGGGTAATGTCTTTTAAAACTTTCATAATACTGACCCTCTGGAGTGTTGTGACTCTTTTTATATTGCTTAAAAATAAACTATTTGTACATTTACCAGTGAAGTTCTCATGTTGTTGAAAATGAGGGATTGGTTGGGTTTTGTACCTGGAGGGGGGCGAGCAGAGTCTTTCTGTTAGCTCAGCATCCTGATGGCTGCTTGTGTGGGGGGTGTGTTGTCCGTACGCTTGGAACAGGGGTGTTGCTAGGAATAAGTGAATGTTGCTTATGAACAGGGCAAACACTGGGAAGGCACCTGCATCTTCAACATTTCAGTAATGGCAGATCTGAAGCCCTGCATTACATTTAACAGGACTTGGCTGAACCAGCAAGGAATTTTGTTTTTTAAAGGTGTTTTTCCAGTGTCTTGTGTGCTAGCCCACTGCAGCTCCTGCAGGTGTTGACATGGAGGGCTGCGCTCACACTGCACGAGTTCAGATTTCTCTGTATTTTTAGGTGCCGAACTGAGAATCGGGTTAGTGCTTGACTTCAACCTTGTGTTAACTCTGATGTGAGTTAATAATTATTTAGCAGTGATGCCAAGCAGGCCCAGCCGCAGCCACACTGCATGTGGGTGCTGCACAGGCAGAACCCACAGAGTGCCTCTTTGGAGGAACACAGCCCAAAGCCTTGAAGGTCTTTTAAAGATGCCGTCCCCAATCTCTAGTGCTCTGCTTGCCTAAAAAGCTGCCTTAAACCAGCCTTTTCCTGGAGATGATTTTAAGACTCTGTCTGTCCTTGAAAAACATTCTACCTACTTTTTTATCAAGCCTTTATCTTTAAACTTTGACTTCCTCTCCCCTCAGTAGGAGGCATCAGGAAAAAAAATCAGCAGTTATAAATATTAAGTTTCATCTGCACTGAGCGAACAGCCCTTATCAGGCTGCACAGCCGCTGCTGCTGTGGCTGCACGGGTCTCCGCAGACCGCAGATTACAGATGCTTTAATCACAGTGCACGTTAACTGGAAGGCCAGAGTGAAGTACCACGCAGAAAGCGCATAAGTCACTCCTGTTATTATTTGATTTTTATCGGGTGTTGGAAGAGGGAGAGGGTTGTATTGTTTTTGTTATTGAGTTGTTCCACAGAGCACAACAGGCAGTTTTAGGAAAACACTGCCTCTGTCCCCTCTCTAGCCCTCATTTTCCCCATCCGAGGATGGTGATGAGGCCTCTTCATGTTGCAGTAGGCTGCCTTTGGTTTATTTTCTTGAGATTCTGTTCATTTGCAGCTTGTTCAAAATCCTCCCAGCCTGAAGGTAAAAAGATAGAGCTGCTCTCTGGAGTGTGATGAGATTTATCTTGTGCATTAAAGATCCAGGTGACTGTGGTGGGTCTGTTAATCAGCTTAGGTTTGTACCACAGACACATTCATTGGGGGAATAGAGGGAGGTGTATGTTTTAAATCCAGAAGTAGATGGGGGCAGAAGTGCATGAACCAGCTGGAGACCTGGGTCAGGCTTCTTGCAAATACAGGGGTTCCTGCTCCGGGGCAGAGCTGGGGCTGGTGCCTCTCCTCTTCCAGCATCGCTGGCTGTAGGTACTTGGTTGCAGACTCCAGGTCTGCCAAGGAGCTGGACTCATGTGTGAAATACCTGGCACTCAGCACACACTCAAGCATCTCAGCTGAGTTAGGAATGGCCCAGCAGGCCATTCCATGGCCCTGCCTCTTCGTAACTGCTTGCCATCCAGGTCTGCTCTTCTAAAGTGGAGACTGTCCCCCTGCACCCAGTGAGGGGATGTGAGAGCAGGATGGTGAGGCTACCTTATTTTCCCATCATTTTCCATGCCAATATCCTCAAAACACAAGAGAAAAACTGAGCTTTTTGAGAACATCAGCCACTTTGGAGCACAGCTGAGATCTCCAGCCACTTTGTTTAGATATGGGGAGTGCCATGGGTCTGGCACAAACACACTGCTGGGTCCCAGGGAGCAAGTACTCTTGCTCTCTTCACAATTACTCACTCTGGGTTTGGTAGCTGGAGGGTGCCCTGCAAGACGAGCATGAGCTCTTGGTCAGCTGCAATTCCAACCTCCCTCCCTGCCTAAGAAACAAGCCCAGCAGCAGGGACGCTCCAGCTGAGGACGCACAGGCAGAGGATGTGGGCACCAGTGAGTTAAAAACTGAAGGTTTCCCAGCCTGCTGGCATCCCTGTTTTGTTGACAAATGAACAGAACAAGCCTTATCATAAAGATCGGACTGTAGTCCTCCTAATGTACCTCCGCTCACGCTAAAGATAATTGATGATTTAATAACACTGCTCACTACCCAGGACATCGTGGCTGGAGTGCTTATGTGAGCAGCAGCATCAACCGCGGCTGGATGTATTTAACTTTTATCAAGTATTAGGTGTACTGCTGGGATGGATGGAGATCTCTGCTGGTGCGTGGCCCTTCCAAGCCAAGGCCCCTGTGAGACCAGGGTGACGGCCCTTCCTATGAGCTGGTGGTTACTGCTCAGGGGGCTTTGGGCCTCATGCTCTGAACTACTGGTATAACCTGAAGAGACACAGAGGTGCTGGGCACTGGGTGAACTTCTCAGAGGGCTGCGTGGCTCCTATGCAACCTGCCAGGTTGTGCCGTTCGGCTGCAAAGCCCAGAGCAGAACATGGAGGAGCGGCCTGGGGCCTGTGTTCCCACCAGGGTGGCCTGAAGCCCCAGCAGTGCTTTCCTGCTCCGTGCAGGGCTGGTGGCCTCACAGTGGGAGAAACGGGTGGCAACTGCCCTCTCTTGGCTGTACTTTGGGGGCAAGGTCGAAAGCGGCTTGTGGCTGATGACAAGCCCGTGTTGTTGCCCTGGCCTCATCTGAAAGGGGACAAGGAAGAGACAAGGGGAACCCGGCACAGTGCGATGGGGATGGAGAGACCCAGGGGGGGCTGAAACTGGGGCCCTGAGGGTGAATTTGTCCCCCAGCAGCCCCAACACAGGGCTGTTGGGTGGGAGCTGGGCCAGTAAATGGGGGGCTGGTGACCACTAGAGGACGGTGCAGGCCGGGCCAGGCCTCAGCACCAGCTTCAATGGAGGCCTCCAGTCCCTGCAGATTAATGACAAATAATAAGGAAAAGAAAGAGGAATAACCAATTAAACACTCATCCCTGCCACCCATCAGGAACTGCCCCTTCAGTCCCTCATGTGACGAATCATAACAGCTTCCTTGATGCTTTGCTGAGTACAAATAAAATAGAGGAGATATTTGG